TTACGCCAACCCCTCCCCGCCCACCGTCCCCATATAAACCATGCCACCCAAACAAAGGGTTTCCACATCATACACCCAGAATATGTTCAACCCAGAGACCCGGTCTGCATATGCCCAAACGACGACACGTCTCCGTCAATAAGCCAGTCCAATCCTGATGTTTGAGCTTCCTTGATCCCACAAGGTACTTTACGCAATGTAAGAAAAGCGGCTCAAAGTGCTAACTGGATTATTTTAAAGAAATAAGAGAACGGAGGAAGAAGTGGAGGGCAGGAAAAGGGGGAAGGCCATTCTTTCGTTGCCCAACAGCAACCTCTATTGGCCAAAGAAAAGTCCTAACATCGCTTTTGTTCTCCAAAAATATACCAAGGACAGCATTTACCCCCGAACCAGCCCTCATTCTTCCTCGACTTCAACTGGCAGCTCCCCAGAATGAATAAATCTGTTATTTTATATATATATATATATATATATATATATATATATATATTTATTTATTTATTTTAGCGCAAGTTAGATATTATTGTAATGTTCCGGACCTTTGTCCGAGAAGATTTTCTCAATCTGGACCTTTTGGAATTTTAATTGAAGACCCCTGGTTTAGTGGGTTGGGATGCTCAAAAACTCATGGAACTTTGTACATGTGTCACAGGTCATATGAAGAAATAGTTTATACGATTTTCTTTATTGGCCGTTTTAAATTGCCTCTATAGCGCCCCCTACAATATTTCAAATGAGCAGCCCCAGCGCTACGTTTTGGCTACATATATGAAGCTTGGTAGGCACATGTGTCCTATGGAGACTTAAAGAAAAGTCTCTTGGGACCATGCTCCAAACCCTACAGGAAGTCGGCCATTTTCAATTTTGTATGAATTTATACAATATTTCGAGGATGCAGCCCTCGCAGTATGTTTCACTATCTACATATAAAATTTAGATGTATAACATTTGGTAAACAGATGTATCACATGTAGACTTACAAAAAAGTCCTTGGGGCTCTAAGCTCTAAACCCAACCGGAAGTCAGCCATTTTAAATTTAGTGAAAAAAACACATTTTTGCGAACTCCGACACGCTGGGTCCGATTTCTACAAAATTTAATGTGGATCATAATTGGATCTAGATCATCAAAAGTTATCAAAAGCTTTTTGATATCTCTTTGCATTTACAAGATATGGACCAATACACTTCTTAGGGGCGTGGCAAAATATCAATACACAACTTATCAACCATTTTTTCTAAATTCCCAAAATATTCAGCATATGTGCACATCGCATCCAGTAACATACCCTGAGAATTATTTTGCATTCGACCACTAGGGGGCACTACAGTAAACCCGCGAAGCCTACTGGCTAAAGGAAATGTCTGATGTAACTCAGCTGGACTTGTTCCAAACGGTCCCAAACTTCACATGCTTGATAACACTCATGGCCTGATGATGTCTACAAGCTAATTTTCCCTAATACTCACAGCGCCACCTGCTGGCGAAAGGAAATCTGCGTTTTTTGACAAACACCATCCGATTTACATGACTTTTACACAATGTGGTTTACACTTGATATAGAGCTACATAATGCACGTGTTCTGTAGCGCCAGGCAGCGGATACAGGGAGCATCGAACTATTTGCAAAGCATCATTTCCAACATCAGGCGGTCCACGCAAGATTAAATACGTCTCACTCGCGGACGCGCTGTCCGACGGTCGCGGACGTTCTCTGCCGCGCAGGCCGGAGTCCCGCCGCCACCCCCGACACGCTGGAAGATGCGAGGGCCCGTTCATCACTGCTCGCAGCTTTAATTCTCATTATTGTTTTACAATTGTAACGTTGATAGCTCAAACACCTCATTGTAAAAGAAATATGTCCCGTACTACGCTACACGTATTTAAAAAAGTACTTTCAGTTCATGAGTTATGACCAGACTTAATGCCACTAATATGACGAGAACAAACAGTAAATACATATTTAACTTAAAAATAACATACTTTAAAAAAAAGAATTGCATTTGCAGGAAGCCCTGTGGGCTTATTGTGGGGAGAGGAGTGGGCACAGAACCAGAATCTGAATAATTACAAAGATGTCACTTAAAAAAATAACAATAATAAAATAGGAGCACAAAAAAATAAAACAGAATTTAACCCGTGTTCTCTCCCTCTCAGGCTCTCATCTGTAGCTTTGGCTTGTTGTAGTTTTGGAACCTGTACTTACTGGCTCATTGACATCAGATAACAAACTACTATACCCTGAGAATTCAGACACAGGCGTCCGTATCCTGTGATCCACCTCCCCGCTAGAGTCGGTGCCGTAAGACAGGCCACGGCCATCCGACTTGAATTGGGAGCCAAAGGCCTGGGCAAAGTTTTCGATCTGGTAGGAAGGATTGGAGGAGTCCAGAGAGGCCAAATCCAAATTAAGCTGTCGGTCTGTCCTAGAAAAATACTGAAGGGAATAACACCAAATGTTGTTTTCGAGCTTTTGATGCATAAAGTATCGCATTTGATAATCGGGATACTAAGCAGCTCACTGACCTGTTGGCAGGTCTCACATCTGTACGGCTTTTCTCCGCTGTGAGTCCTCTTGTGCCTCTCCATGTGGTACTTCTGAATGAAACGCATGTTACACTGGTCACAGCTGAATGGCTTCTCTCCTGCATTACAAGAACAGCGATGCTCAAGGTTAGTTGCGATTAGACGCACACAATGACTCGCAGATTAAATCAGATTCGACACGGATTGGTTGTCTTTAAAACACTCACCACTGTGGATTTTCTCGTGTCGCTGGAGAAGGTATTTCTGAATGAAACTCATGTTGCACTGATTGCATCTGAAGGGTCTTTCACCTGAAACAAAGCCACAGAGATTTATACGGTTACAGTGTTGCATCCCTGTGTCGTTACCCTTCTGTAGAATGGTTCACTTATTCATAAAACAATGCAATTGAATCCAATCACGTCCCCTACTCTTCACCAAAAGCAGTACGTGTTGCATGGCTATTGCATTGTATTTCACAGGTGTTCATCCCGTTCTGAAATCCGGTCTTTTAGTCCGTCGACAATACGAACACAGTTAATTATTTTGGTGCATGAATAACTATTAATTCAACAGAGTCTGAGATTTGAAAACCTTTTTACATAAATTAATTCAATGCTATGAAATGATTCTTATACAGTACAGTAGTTGGGAATCGAGCACAAACTGAAATTCACAAGAGTGATAAACAAGAGTGATTCTCAAATGAGGACATTAATCCTGTGGCAAGTCAGAAGGAGCCAGGCCTTAACATGTGGTACAAAACAATAAATAACACTCAGGCTTTATAATGTTTTATCACAGGCATCATGGTTGCAAATATGTAGCTACTTATTTATAGATTGTTTTATTTTAAACACAGTAAACATTACTACTACATTTTTTTCTTCAAAATTCCATACCTATTTATATGGTTAGGGTGCTGCATCCCTGTGTCGTTACCCTTCTGTAGAATCGTTCACTTATTCGTAAAACAATGCAATTAAATCCAATCACGTCGCCCACTCTTCATCAAAAGCAGTACGTGTTGCATGGCTATTGCATTGTATTTCACAGGTGTTCATCCCGTTCTGAAATACGGTCTTTTTACAACGACGCCCCTGCCTGTGATCCTTGTTTTTTGTTGGACGAGGATGATGGTGGAGGTCTTGAAGCAGGTGATTAAAGGACATTGTTTTAAAAATGTATAGATTTCTGAGTTGTTAAATAATAACTCTTGCATTTTTATTAAATTTTCTTGCATTTATTGAGTGATTTATTACCCAAAGGACAGTTATGAGTGAAGACAAGAAAAACTCTTTGCTCTTTTTACCCGGCAATGAAGTTTGACTGCTAATCGATGCAGCTTCATTCTCTCTGCGTCCTCTGTTCAACAGGTGACTATCAATCACATCACACTTACCACCCACACGGTGATGTTGGAGTCGGCTGAACCAGTCCCCATCTTGTCATCTTCGTGGCTGGAGTGGAGACCCCACACTTTGTCCTGGTGGGCGTCCAGCGTCTTCACACACTCGTTGGTCTTTATGGTCCACAGCTTTACTAAACCATCGGAGCCACTAAGGACAGAACGTCAGTTGGGAGAGTTGAGTTACAACAGTGTGAGGGGGATCCACAACAATGCAGATAAAACACAAGTCTATACTACAATCTATGCTAACTCTAGTGAGGTGTTTAGTGTGTCTACGTTGACACTGGAGAAGGGAAAGGAGAACGTAAACTCAAAAAGAGGCGGAGACAATTAATCAATCAACAGAAAATGAGTCGATTATATTTTGATATATCTTTTACGTTACAGTTGTTTAATCAAGTAAAAATGGAAGATGTTTTCTGGTTTGAGCCTCTCACATCTAATCACTTTAAACAGAATGTCGTTGCCTTTTGGACTGTAATTGTGACAAAAAGTTGTTTTGGGTTCTCAGAACTTTTCGTTCACCTTACGATTAAATCAAAAACGAATTGGCATATTAATTTAAAGTCAGCATACAGATGAAAAATGAAACAGATTTTTGAGTGTGTAGTGAAAGTGCACTATTCTCACACAAAGCAGCTACTCACAGTTGGAAAAAACAAAAAGCTACAGTTTAAGTATCAAGTGTTTTCCTACCAAGCTGGTGATTTAATATAATTTTGTAAAAGTTTGCCACCAGCAGTCAAAACACAAGAACAATAGAAAATTCCTTTCACTTTTTTTCTCCATTAAGTATGAATAGTCCACGTGAGCCCAAAGCTAGTTTTTGGATCGTGCCAATCAGATAAAACATGATAAGCACAGATGAGGGTTTGGAGCTCACGTTTCCTTGTGCTCAGCACAAAGTGAAGCTTTTGTAAAAAAACAAATTAATTGAGACCGCAGATTGTTTCCAGAACTAACCTGTAAAAAATGAAGATAAGATTGTTCTGGAGAAAAGCTTTGCGTGTGTGTGGTTACCTGGTGAGCAGCTGAATGCCTCGGCTCACAAAGATCACCTTCAAAACCGATGCATCGTGACCCTCAAATGTCTAAAAAATGACAAACAAATATCACATATTTACTTTAAAGCCACAAAAATATCACAATTACAGTCATCTATGGGGAAATAACTCATTCATAACTCTAACAAACATTTAAAGTGAGAGATATGATGTCTGTGCATAAAAAAGGACACTTGACGAGGGAGGGATCCGACTGCACATACACAACTAATTGGTACTCTGTGACACATGTACACTTCTCGTGGCCCACCTTGAGGCAGCTGAAGTCTTGCAGGCTCCACATTTGTGGCACCGTCTGCGGAGGACGTGGCCAGCACCTGGTCGACGGGAGAGAAGCAGACAGCCCAGACGCCGCGCCGGTGGCCCCTAAAAACCCCCAGCATGCCCACGATCCCCTCCGCCGCCAGTGACCACAGCTTGGCCGTGCGGTCCTGGGACCCCGAATATATCGGTAATATATCTGCAACTGCTGCAAGGTTTTCATTCCCAGTCATCCACGTTTCTCCAAGTCATGCTGCTATTTCAGCTTTTAGAAACTACAGAAAAACTTGCAAAAATAGACTGAAGAATAACTGTTTTACCTACATGCATTGCTATTACAGTGTCTGACACAGATACATGGTGTGGAAATGTTTTCAAGAATGATAAATTCATAATATTAAGAAGAAAAAAAAACGTTTTTTTGGAAACCTTCTGCCCTCTGGTGATTAAATAAACATACTGCTTTGCATTTCACATCGGTACTTGTTTACACATGCTGCCCTC